GATATGAACAGTTCAAGATGGCCGCTATCGGACCAGCTAATAGATCTGCGTTTTCTTTTAGGAGCCACGACGGTATGCCATCCGGACCATGAGCTTTTTTGGGATTAAGTTTGAGAAGGTTTTCGAAAACAGCATTCGATGTTACAGTAATTACTGTATCACTTTGTGCGGGTTGGATGAGATGTTGACGAGGTACTGAGGATAACGGCACATATCTAGCCATAGGAGCCAAAAAGGCATTATTAATCTCGTTGGCTAAATCTCTTTTATCAGAGCTAGAAGGGTCATCTCCTGGTCTCAGAGCTTTCACAATTTCATCTGAGGTTCCCCCGATTACATTCATTCCACTAAGCTTTTTAACCTCTTTCCACCATGCTGATGGTTTACATTGTTTTAAATGGTGAACGCTATTTTCGTAATATTTTGCCCGACATTTTTTTCTTTGGCGGTTGATTTGATTCCTCAGCCTTTTAAATTCTGTAGTTCTTTTCTGATTAAGGGCTTTTTGTCGTTTCCTTATAAGACCTTTCAAAGTTGTGTTCATCCATGGAGGTTCATTTAATCTAACAGTTTTATTACGTAGCGGAATAATTGAATCCAACCCATTATTAATTATTGTTTGGAATAAAGATGTTTTTTCTTCACAAGAGTGGCCTGTGTTAAGCAAGGTGGGAATGTCTACCATCTCTATATATTTCCTTACAGCAAGGCGGGAACTAGGTCTCAAGTCTCTCACCTTTACTGATGCTGTTGATGTTCCTTGAACTTTTGATCGTTTAATTGGTCTAATCTCAATGGTCACGTGATCGGATAACCCGAACGGGGCACATTTGGTAGGTTTGTCGTAGTAAGTGCTAAGGTTTGTTAGGACTATATCGAGCGTATTATTCCCACGTGTGGGGAAGTTTACGAGTTGTTTCAGATTATAACACGATCTTAGTCTCGACACGTTTAACTTATTAAAGTCGCCAAGGATAATAAGGCCACAGTTGGGAAAACGCGACTCTACACGCGACAAACAATTTGAAAGATAGTCCAACATGTCTGAATTGTCTGCGCTGGGAGGGTGGTATACTGTGCCAATTATCAGGTTAGTAATTCCTCTGGGTAGTCTATTAGGTCGGATGCTGATCCACAGTATTTCAAATGAGCTGTTATAGAGTTCATCAAGCACTGTAAAAGCTATGGAATCTTTAATATAAACACAAACACCACTAAACTCCTACCTTATAACTCCTATACTCCTCCTTATAACTCCTACTAAAATGGAGATATGACATCGATTATTTGATAGACCTCGAGGTCGATTATTAAGTGGCATTGACGAAAAAGAGTTTGAAGCAAGCGACGTTTTTGACGTACGCCAAACCAGATTCCTCCTTAGAATCACGAGCCGTTCTTCATTCCAAGCCAGAAATTTGAACACCAAATCTTGACTTCCGCTTGCTGATTTGGCTCTCAACATGGATATATTTTATGCCCCATATGGTCATTCCCCCTGTTGCATTTATCGCAGTTAGGACTGTTTCTGACTAATTGCATATACTGCGTATTAATTATATATTGTTTATATACGGACCACTATGCAGCAGAACGCAAAATTAAAAAATCGTAGTTGATTTTATTCAAGATAATTATTGTATATCAATGTCATTAGAAAACAGAATTGAAAATGTTATCTGTTTCTATTCAATTTAAAAAGCTTATGCTGTTCAGATGAAAAGAGATGAATATTGCAGAACTGTAATAACTCATGCTGGATGTATATTGCACGCAAGACTTGACTCCGGATCAGTTTATTCTGCATGGAATATGATTGTCAAGCAAGGAATCATGATGGGCTGTTATTGTGAAGAAGATCTTGCAACTGGTAAAACTATATTCGTACGATTTCAAGTAATGCTAAATTTGAATTTTCAGAAAATTTCACCGCTGAATTACGCTAAGTTTAACGGATATAAGATATTAAGAATATATGCTATGAACCCTATTTACATTTAAAAATTAAAAAAATCAAATCCACTATCTAAAATGTATATTAGAATTGTGCATGATAAAACTGTCATTAAGTTTTTTCGTTTTACACACAGGAAGTTCAAAATTTCTATGATTCTTTAAAAGGTGATCGTCGGTATTTAATGGCGGAAGGAGGTCGTATAAACTATGATGTGAGTTGCTGGCTATTTCGTTAAACAACTTCGTTGTTAATTTCTGTCTTCGATCGTTCAGTGACAAAATGATCTTGGTCTCCAAGGCATCTTTGTAGTGCATATCAGGAAAAATTATACGAAAATCAGGTTTTTGAAGTTTTTCTAAGTCATCGGAGAGGTACTGCGGCAGCGAGTTATGGAATACTTCGCACGCATACTCGACGACTGGACGAATACAAATGATATAAAACAGGACCAGATCGTTGGGTGACAATTTGGCACGTTTTAATTGTCTTTGAAAATATAGCCGTGTTGATACCTTTTTACAAGTATTCGAAATATGAATGTTCCATTTGAGATCATTAGAGATGGTAAGGCCCAGTAGTTTTGTAGATGTTACGACCTCGACATTTTTACCATTAATTATTAGTTATGGGCTCAAATACTTTGTTAGGCCTTGAAAAGCTTATCCGGAGTTCTTTGCATTTGGTTTCTTTTAATTGGAAGCCACCTGCAATTGACTTTCTGGCAAATCCGTCTACATAATTTTGGATTAAACTTGAGTCATCTCTACCAACGGACTCAGACATAGTTGAGTCATCGACATACTTCCAGAGATCAACAACACCAGATACATTTAGTTCGTTTGGCCAGCCAGAAATTTGAATACCAAATCCTGACTTCCGCTTGCTGATTTGGCTCTCAACATGGATATATTTCATGCCCCATGGTTATTCAGCCCGTTGCATTTACCGCTGCAGTTAGGACTGTTTGTGACTAATTTCATATGCTGCGTATTAAGTATATATGGTTTATATACGATATAATGATTTTATTCAAGATTATGGTATATCAATGTCATTAGAAAACAGAATTGAAAATGTTTTCTGTTTCTACTTAATTAAAAAGCTTATGCTGTTCAGATGAAAAGAGATGAATATTGCAGAACTGTAATAACTCATGCTGGATGTATATTGCACGCAAGACTTGGCCACGGATCAGTTTATTCTGCATGGAATATGATTGTCAAGCAAGGAAACATGATGGGCAGTTATTGTGAAGAAGATCTTTCAACTGGTAAAACTATTCGTACGATTTCGAGTAATGCTAAATTTGAATTTTCAGACGATCTGTTTAACATTAAAATAATTAGATTATTCTTCTAAAACTTTCATCTTTTCTGTAATATGTTGTTATTATTATTATTATTATTATTATTATTAAAACTCAAGGGTTTTACAAAGGTATGAATTTATTATTATTGCTAGCGTTTCGGGCAGTTTTACTGCCCATTGTTAAGATTTTAATAACGGTGTTGTTGATTTACAATCCTACACTGGAAACGAGTGGGACTACAGTACCTCCTCCGCAGGCCATACAGTTCGCAAAAACTAATGAGTATGCCCTTTCGCAGGTTGAAGTTTGAGACGAAGGCTTGCGTAGCTGTAGGGCCTGCTGAATAACATGTCGATTACTTGGCTTATAGTTATCGATAACTCGGTTGGATCAAATTTCATAAAAAATATGGCACATTGTCTCCCAATATTTAGCAATCCTGTTTTGCGAGTATTTTCTAAATACGTCTTGGCAGTTATGGCGGATAGAAGGCACGAGGAGCTCCAAAGAATGGAAGGTTTTACAAGCAGAAGCGACAATGATACTATTACCAGAAATATGGGACAAGATGGCGACGGACATGCGCACTTTGACCAAATATTTCGACCAAATATTACTATAAACTATATGGGAGTTGATCAAAATATCAAATTTTAGTATACTTTGTTTAAATATTTCATGGTTGCCGAGCTCGATTATAGTAGCGACACGAACAAGCAATATTTCTAAACAAAAATCGCTAGTATTGCACGCTTCTAGCCGGTTAGTGAGAATGTTGTATTTTTACTCGCAATTCGATGAATTTCATATTGTAATTTATTGTAAACTTGTGACGCAAGAGGTAAATATCCGACGAATAGACCAACATATACCATTCGGGCGATGCAAAGTGCCGAGCTCGCGATATATTTAATGATGTCCAAACTGTTAATTTAGCTAAATAAATCGCTGTAATTTCCAGGGAAAGTAGTTCCCGAAACGTTTAAAAGTTCGCCTTTTTACGATTCTTGTATGTCGCCATTAGGCCATCTTAATATCCAAAACGACAAGTTTTAATACAAATTTGAGCTGTTTCGAGCAGCCATGTTTATTGTTTATTTTGAAAGACTAGATCCAGGCTCTCTCTCGTAAAAACACAGGGATGTTTTTGGATTTTTTAGGAAATTTGCGATATTTTTAGTCTTGATAAAAATTTGCGGAGTAAAAGGTCAAAATACCGGAAGTGCTCAGCAAAAACTGCAAAATATAGTTTAAAATCACAGTTTTTGGTTGAATAATACTTGAATTGGAGATCGAAGGTAAAATGCGAAGTCGTTTTACCTATGTTAGGCAATGTTAGGCATATAAAACGGACTTAGATATTTTTACTAACATTCTGAATAGAACATTGGAATATGTCAACAGTGATAGACGTCGTGAATCTAACATTTGTCCAAATGGGATGTTTTGACTATATACACAAATTTAATGCATTTAAAAAGTTACACTGTATGAAAGAGAAATATAAACCGTGGATAAGCCGCATGCCTGACATACGACGTGTTATATAAAAGCGTCTTTGTCTGTTTTAGATTTTAATATGCAATTTAATTAACTGAATTGATGGAAAGGATATACTTAAATGGGGGTGGACAAAAAAAGTAGTCCCGCATAAAAAATGGTATATCCTGTTCTTTGCCACCATAACTAAAAATAGTCTCAACAAAAGTTATGTTTTTGAACTTACTTGTTTAGTTTTGTGCATGTGTGAATAAAGGTTGTAATTTCAAGTCAAGGATTAGAAAATATATACGTAAACAGAGTTTTTACTATATACTGTAAAGTGTACTTCGAATTTTCAAATATATACATGTGATTGTTGGTACCAATGCTTTAAACTGTCTCCCCTTGTCAAAACATCTAGAAGAACAGAATTACTTGGAGCAAACATATGTATTTTAACATGATCTTTCCAAGTAATGATAGTCCATTAGAGAAACAGGTGTTACCATTGTTTTTGTCCAATATGTAGCGTATTTATTTAGCATGTATACTGTAGGTAGTCTCCATTGTTGGCCATCATTTTGTTCAATAATTCGTTAGGTAACTGTACACACAAAGGTATGTAATACCTTGACATACAATATTTCCTGACATCCATATGGTTTCATGGCAGATTCTATTCCATTGTATTAGATTACTTAGATGTAATATATCCACAAAATCTTGTAAATCTGCATTCTTGTTTTAATAGAAATACATAGTCCCGAAGTTCCCATGTGATGTAATATATTTCATGTGATGTAATATATCCATATTATATTTTCGCTGTAATAACCATTTGATTTCGTCCAGCAGTTAATAATAAAATTGGCACCATTAACATCCGTCAGATTGCAAATTATATATTTACGTCGAAACATATTAGCTAATAAATTAATGAAAATTCAAACTTCATAGTTTGTTGTTCTAAAGGCGCTGCTAATAGCCTGTGCTAACTGATCTAGCCTGTTTTCTTTTTCAAGCCTATATTGTAAGTTCGCTGATGATTTCAAGCTTGTTAATCGTTCATATATGCCATTGGTTTAATGACACAAGATGCAAGTGATTTTAATCTGCTGATAGCAACACAAAAATCTCCAGCAGTTCTTTCAGATTTGCCAATATCTAGCCATGCTTTTGGACGTGTAAGTCCTTGGTTCTTGTGCATTGTTAGAGCCCAAGCAAGCCTAAGAGGTGACTGTTGCCTCTCATGGAAACCTATTTCTGTCTGTGATGTGACAGTGATTGGACATATTGGGTTACAGAATGGTTGATTTTCAATAAAAAACAGGTCCTCTATGGTTTTCAAATTGTACTATTACTGCATGGACGTTAGGTTGTTCTGATAGATAATATCAACAACTGTTCCAGTAGCCCCATTGCAGATTCCAACACTTGACCACAAATTAATGGTTAACATGCATATGACCCTAGCACCTTTTGACAGAAACACAACAGGTTCTAACCCAGACATATCATCTGGGGATATCTTTTTGGCCAATGCTAATGAATGGCGAGCATTAATATGTGCAACTGGATGCTCAAGTTTTGTTAGCTGCTTATGGTTGTAATTGCCAACTTGTTCATTACTATAAAAGAATCTAGTAGAATCTTCAAAGTCACATAAATTAGTGACATTTGATGGTTGATGTGTCAGAAGTAACTTCCAGTCATCAGCTATTGAGTCACATTTGCGAAGTCGTACTAACAAATTTCTGAACTGCACTTGGTCAGATGTCATACCTTGCACACGTTGATTTACAGTGAGCTAGTTTAACAACTCTGTCGAACATATATGATATATATGATATATATGCTCGATAACCTTGTTCACCAACAGCGTTTGATGGTTTAGCATGGTAAAGAGGTTTATTCTGCTGCTGGTGGCAATTGGCCTGGATCACCAGTTAAAATCAATGATTTTCCTCCAAATACTGTGTCATTATAACCAGTTGTTTGTTTTCAGCGCTTGTCTATCCATGCAAAAGTAACTTGGCCAAGCATGGACTGTTCATCAATAGTGATGTATCCAATATTATTAACCCTCTCTTGTAACCTACACAAGCTTTGTCCTATTAAGTCTTTATTACCTCTTGATCCTATAGGTATCTTTAATAGAGAATGCACAGTTACATCTCTAATGTTATAAGCTGCTTTATCTGTGGTAGCAGTAACAGTGCATTTACTTTGCAAAAGATTTCTAACAGCATTAATAAGATATTTATTTACTTTGCAAAAGATTTCTAACAGCCTTTTAGATCCTGTCATAACCAACTGCCCAGGATTTTTTGTTCAAAGTGGAACTCTGAGTCCCCCAACCAATTGCGATCATTCTTTGATTTTTGCCAAAATGTGCATATCGTTCTCAAAGCAGAAGTGCTACAAACGCCTTATTTGGAATTTTCATAATGTTAATGAAACTGCTTTGTGTAATTCTTTATTAGCGCTGGACTGGGAAAGTCTGAAAGATGAAGATATAATTTTTGCCTATGAAAAATGGTATAGTTGTTTTTCGAGGTATAATTGAGTCTCATATTCCTCATAAAACTGTCACAATACGTCCTCGTGATAAACCGTGGATGAATTCAAATGTTAGGCGAGCAATTCGTAAGAGAAACAGGTTACTGAAAATTCATTGTAAAACGAGATCAACAGTTTCCTGGGAAAAATACAGGCAGCAAAGAAATTATACAACAACTCTTATTCGTTCAAATAAACAAATGTACAATAAAAAGCTGAACGCCAGACTTCAAGATCCTTTAATTAGTAGTAAAAACTGGTGGGGTATCGCAAAGTCTCTTTATGGGGCAAAGATTCAAACGTCAATCCCAACTTTAGTTGATGGTGTAAAATTTATTAGTGATGCTAAAGAAAAGGCCGAACTCTTTAATGAATATTTTTGCACTCAGTGTAATGTCGATGATAGTTGTGCTTCTTTCCCAATTAATAACGTCCAAGCTACTGTTACTTTATCACTTATCCAAACATCAGAAAAAGAGGTCAATAATCTCTTGAAAAATGTGGATGTTGGTAAAGCTTGTGGCTTTGATGGTATCGGGAACAACATATTAAAGTTATGTGCTAATGGTGATATCTAATTCATTTACTAGCTTTGTTAATTTCTCTTTTTCATCTGGAAAATATCCAGACAAATGGAAACTAGCTAATGTTATCCCAATTTTTAAAAAGGATGATCGTCAGTCGAAGCTCAACTATCGTCCGATTTCTTTACTAGTCTCTTTGTCCAAAATTGTTGAAAAAATCGCATATATTCGATTATATAATTTTCTACTAGAAATTGGTTTTCTAAACCCATTGCAGTCCGGTTTTTGACCAGGTGATTCCACTGTGAATCAATTAATGTACATTGTGCATACGATTTATCACGCACTTGAACAAGGGAAAGAAGTTCGGATGGTATTTCTCGACATCAGCAAAGCTTTTGATAAAGTATGGCACAAAGGGCTTTTATACAAACTTGAAGTAATTGGTATTCAGGATCCACTGCTAAGTTGGCTTAAAAGTTATTTATCAAATCGAAAACAACGAGTTGTGATTGAAGGCCAGTCTTCTAAGTGCGAAAGTATAAAAGCGGGTGTTCCCCAGGGTTCTGTCCTTGGCCCTTTGCTATTTTTGATATATAGCAATGACATAACTAAAAATCTTCAGTCAGACTGTTTTTTGTACGCGGATGACACGTCAATCATTGATATTGTTGATGCACCTAATATGTCCTCGATAAAGTTGAATAATGATCTTACTTCAATTAAGGATTGGGCATCCCAATGGTTGATTACAATTAATCCAACTAAGACCGAAACGATTATTTTTTCAACCAAAAGGATTAAGCCATATCTTCCCGATGTATTTTATGAAGGTAAAAAAATTGCTACGGTTTCACAGCATACCCACCTCGGCGTCACACTATCTAGTACTTTATCATGGAAAGCTCATATTTTGAAAGTATATGAAAAGGCATGCCAGAGGTTAAATATGCTTAAAGGATTAAAATATAAATTAAATAGGGAAACTTTAAACACATTATATAAATCTCTTGTTCGTCCCGTGATGGAATATGCTGATGTATTGTGGGACGGTTGCATGGATGGTGAGAGCGATCTTCTCGAATATGAATATTAATCTGCTAAAGTCGTAACAAGTGCGATGACAGGCACCAGTAGAAATTTTTTAATGAAAGAAACAGGCTGCGAAGATATGAAGCTTAGACGTTGTATACATAAATTAATTTTTTATTTTAAGATCGTTAACAATTTTGTTCCAAATTATTTAAATGAATTATTGCCTATTCAGGTGCTCGAGCGAACTTATTATTCTGTGAAATCGCAATCTGATTTTACACTGTTTCCAGTGCGCACTGAGCGTTTTAAAAAGTCTTTCTTTCCATCTGCTACCAAACTGTGGAATGGGCTAGATACATCTGTACGTAATCTTCCGTCAATTTCTCCTTTCAAAAAGTTTTGTTAGAACTTTTCAATCTTCAACCGAGTCCAACCCTACTTAATTATTCTCTTGATAGATATTCATCTATCATTCATACTCGAATACGTTTGGATGCTTGTGCTTTAAATTATTATTTATTTAAAATTGGTTGTAAATTATCTGCTAAATCTACTTGTGGTTTTGAAATTGAAATTGAAACTATTAATCATTATTTTTTACATTGTCCGATTTTCGCTGCTCAAAGATTGAAGCTGCTCACCTCGGCTGCTCGCATTGTTGCTGATAGATGGCTTGCATTGTCCAATTCACAAATAATACAGCTTTTTTTGTTTGGATCCTCATTGGATAAAATTTTCAAATCTTTTACCACGTCCAAAATTTTATGAAAGAAACTAAACGTTTCCATACTCAGGAGATTTGAATCTGTTTGCAGTTCATCTTTCAGTATTTCCTTGTGTGTTTTTCTTCTACATAGCTACTGACTGTATTATTGTCCAATTGATTTGTGTGTGTTTTTTCTAAGTATGTAAATGTGAAGTGAGCCCAATAGATGAGCAACCAGTAGCTCTTGGGCAAACTTCCTTTAAAAAAAAAAGATAACTTTTACCAGTTCCTGCAATACCATTTATAAAGAGATACAATGCCCTTTCTCGGATGATGCGTCATCAAAATGAGACTTAACAATGTCATAAACGAGTTTTTGCATTTCAATAAAACTGTCGATGTCAACAACATCATATTCCTCATCAATAGTGTATTCCTCTTTGTTTGTTTTTATCCATGTTGGCACTTCTTGGATTTGTTGTTCTGAATAATTGGCTCTGTGAAGATGGCAGTCATATGTGGACTGTAGTGTTTGTTCAGAGTTGTCTAAAGGAGTGTTGAGGTCTGATAATATCATCCACTCTTCTCGAGTTGTCTCCTGTTCTTCAGAAGGTTCATCTTCTGGTTCTTGACTTTGAATGGCAGCTTGTAATTTATCAAACCAGTCTGGGACATTAGGTTGTCCATAAGGTGTTTGTAAAAATTCATGCCAACAATTGATCAGGACTTCGTCAGTTGGTTCTTGGTCACCCCATGCATTATTTTGGGTTGTTCTCCATGGTTTATACCTCAAAATTTGATATTTAAAATATAGGCCAAAATTTGGACCTTTGGGGTAGAAGAATATGTTGGAAATATTCGTGGTATAATATTCTCTGGCAATTTTTTCAGTTCATTGTTAACACCTTTGTATGTTGTAGCAAATTGAACAAAGTTCATATTCATTATCTTTTGTGAACTCACATATTGTTCACGATTAGCAGACACATCAAGAAGCGAATAATCAGTGAACAATTCACCCTCGTCATTACTTGCAGTATCACGCACTCTACGTGAACCATTTAGACTAACTGGAATAACTTTAAAGAATGAGCTGTGGAGTTTTAAAGACAACAAATGATGCATTGTCTCTTGAGCTGCATAATCTCTTTCATCAAGAGATTTCATAACTACCTTCTTCATAACTCTACGAGGGTCAGTATTACTGTCAACATATTGCATGATAGAATTGAATGTCTGTTTCAATATAGGTGATCTTGGCTCACCTTTAGCTGCATATTTTGTGAGATATTCAACACAAGCATAGTGATCAATAACAACTTGAATATCACAGTTAGCTCTCCATCCTTGGAGCTGAAGTTGTTGATGGTAATTTAATCTAGAGTAATTTCGTTTAGTCACAAACTTAGCTCGATAATGTTCATTATCACCTGAAGTGTGAATTTTTTCAAATTCTAATTTTGTCTTAGGACAAATATCAAAAGGGAAATGAAATCTACATTTCAACTCTGTTTCATTTGACTTCTTTCTAAGACAATAACTTGTACTACAACGAGTGTGTCGTTGAATCATTTTTAATAGATCTACATAATCAGATTGTTTTTCATGTTCAGGAATGTCGTGATGATTTCTTTGACATCGATGAACCTCAGGTCTTATCCACATGTCCTGATCTGGTGGATTAGGATGGACGGTTGATAGTAACCAATCAACGTACTGACGTACTGTGTCAGCTGCTTTCTGATCAGCTTGAATATCTTGGTCTAGTTCAGTTGTGTCAGAACAATCGTTTTCATTTTTAAATTTTTGAGCTAAGAAGAATCCTTTTAAAGCAGTCGGAGTAAGTTGACACAAACCTGGGTCATTATTTAGTTTAGCAGTACCATGGCAATGGATACTACCTCTACCGTGATATTCATATCTAAACCAGTGCCATTTTGCACCAAGTGTATCATAAAGCCAGTGTTGAACAAACTTTTCTAGTCTCTGTGTAAAGTACCAATCAACTACATGTGGATTGTTAATAACATTTTGTCCTTGCCTAACTAGTGGCGTTACCAGTGTTTGCTCCAACGAGAGCATGTAATTCAGGCCAGTGCATATCTGCTGATGAGAAAGTAAAGAACGATGTTGGTGCTCCAACATTAGTTATTATAGCTTTGAGTTCCTCTCTCACTTTATTCCAGTAAGCATTAGTACCTGCAATATTGCCAATGTATCTGGACACTTTGGACATCAATAAGGCAGAGTTGTCACTCGCAGCCATTTCACGTAGCTCATCAATAGTTAGGTGTCCTGAAGAGGAACATTTCGCAAGATACTTTGATTAGTGGGATCACCTTTCCCATCAGGAAATAATGTTGGAAAAGCCATACTGGCCAGATGTGAAATCTGATATTCATTTAATGACTCACTTTCAATAGTGAGCCATGGCATTGGTTCATTTGCAGAAAGCTGATTTCTAACTGCTTCTATTTCTTGTTCCTGCTCTTCACCAACAGGCAAGAAACTATTCATGTCTGTAGAGTTGTTATAAACTATATGTTCAGAAGGGTTTTCAGTGGGTGGACCTAAATCTGACATAACATCATCGTTTGAGATTATTTCATTTTCAGTCTCAACAATCTCTAATTATTTGCATGTTGTAATCCTAGTGTCTGTATTGTAACTAAATATGTATTTGATTATATGTAATCTGATTTTATAATATCTACGCCCCCCTTGGAAATAAAAAATATATCGCTGTAGGGGTCAGCATAGTAAAATAAAGTTTTTACTTTACCTACCTACCTAGTCATGAGATCTGCTGGAATGCCATTTTTAGATAAAGAGTTTAATGCATCTTCATTAATTTCTAATTCAGCATGATGAAGATTATTTTGCAAAGCCATAATAATGCATTATGTACTTTTTCTTTTCTCACAGCAACATCTCTAAATGAGTTATCTTTACTTTTGACTTTGACAATAATCACAGACAAATCTTTGGGATATCTTGGCAATGATGTTGCAAGTTCCTTAACACTTTGTGGCAAATTAACACAATGACCTGAGTAACCTCGTTATCCACCAGTCTTAATGTAAACTCTCATGATAGGAAGAGCACGAGCAATCAACATTTCCTCTACTTGAGTTAAATTTTGTAACTCCGTTGGCACTGGAGAAGGCGGAATCATTGAATTTTCAAGTGAGAACTTTCTAGGAGATTTTGTGTCTCCAGAACATCGAAAGCATATATAACAATCAGGTGACCTTGGTTTAGAGTTCAGTGGCCATGATTCTTGACATATTGTGCATTGACTGATTAATAAAGAATTCAATAGATTTATAAAATTTATTAACTGTTTCTCCACAGGCCAGTTTTGCATTATTAATTAATGTTATTTTTCGCCCAACTCTGTTCATGAATACTACCATCTTTTTCAATGTCAAATTTGTTTAACCTGCTGGTTTATAATTTGAGTAGAAGCACACACACGTTTTCTCTTGTTCTTATTAGCACTGGCAAGTTTAGTTTGGTTTTTAATACCAGTTTCCTGTGCTCGTTTTCTTTTGTCGTAATTTCTAACATTTCCAAGTCTAGTTTGTTTCTCATTTTCAGTTTCGAAGCTCGTTATGCTTTTTGATACTCGCTAGCATTTTTAAGTCTAGTTTGTTTCTCAGTTTCAGTTCATGTGACTCGGTTTAGCTTTTTCTGACTTTCGGTTTCTTCTGAGCGTTTTTGTTTTACACACCCTTTCGCACTTTGGCTTGAAGCAAGTCCACTTATATTTGTGTTATATCAGAATTTAACTGAACAATTACCCCTTTGAGTCAAAAGGGTGTTTCATTACCCGGATGTACAGTACTCTGGAAATAAATTACCAGGTTTTCTATACTATCAACAGATGTTAATATGCATTTTCCAAAAGGGTGTGGGATCCCATATAAATCTCTTGAATGAGAATCAAATACTTTAAAGGTTCCTTCAGAAGTCTTCAAAATTGCAACAGTATTAGTAAGAACCAATAGTCAACATACAATGTTGATAATTTAAACGAGTTTCCGCAAACAGATTATTAAGAGCATTATCTATAGAACAACAAGGTAGAGTATAGACTTGGATCAAGTCCGTCTCTCTACAGTCCGAGGGAGAGCGCGAGGTGCAATAACGCGGGAATGTTTGAGGGAGAAGACGGACTTGGCTCGCCTGCAAGCGCGCCAAATTTACCGATCCGTTTTTCCGTCGGTAACGCGTCATAACTAGATTGCAACTATTTATGCTAATTGCAATAAAGCGGAATTAACAAAGAATCTTGTTTCAAAATATATAGCTTGCTGTCTCTCTTCGTGTCTGGTTTAGTTTGGGCTTAAATGATGAATACGTTTTAAGAGGGTGGGAAAGGATATTTTCGTGAGCCGCGAATGGTCAATATTTGTTCGCGTGAAATGTGAAATGCTTGATTTTAGTGTCGTGAAATGTGATTTGTTCTACAGCCGTGAGGCGTGATTGTTGATAAAATTGCTCCGTGAAATGAGAATTAAGGATGCCTGTTTCGTGAACTGTGATTATTATAGTGATTATTATAATAAACATGATACGCGATAATCAAATTTATATGATCTCACTCGATTGCACAAGAGTAAAAACTTCGGAGGCCTTTCGCGAGGTTCCTGACACTGAGGACAAGGTTCCTGGCGCTGAGGACAAGGTTCCTGACGCTGAGGACAAGGTCCTGACGCTGAGGACGAGGTTCCTGGCGCTGAGGACGAGGTTCCTGGCGCTGAGGACGAGGTTCCTGGCGTTGAGGACGAGGTTCCTGGCGCTGAGGACGAGGTTCCTGTCGCCGAGGACGAGGTTCCTGGCGCCGAGGACGAGGTTCCTGGCGCTGAGGACGAGGTTCCTGGCGCTGAGGACACGCGCGGAGGTCGTCGTACATTCTCGTCACTCAAACTTGTAAGTTATGATGTAGTTTTTAACTGACAGGTAGAGAAATGAGAGAACTTATAAAGCGTAGATACTGTACCATGCATTAAACATGGTCTTAATAAACCTATTATTATTATATTATTTTATGAGAATCTAGTTTTCCGTGAAATTGCTTTTTTAAGACACGTGAATCGTAAAACGGCTTTTTTTTTCGTTGTGAAAACCCTCTTTTAAGAAGGTTATTGATATGATTATACTATATAAAACTGTACAACTAGTTTCTGACGACTATTTAATGCGCGAATCAAATCGAAACCTTGACATCCCCCCCGGGCATACCCCCGGGAATTTGGATTTTGACGTTTTGGTCAGGTCAAATTCCCTACATATATTTGTAATTCCCGTTCAAATACACCACGTATTGGGAAAAATTGGAGTTCAAATACCCCACCCCATGTACGAATTGGAAGCTACAGCATTTCGCAATTTTGGAATTTCAAAGTTTTTCTTTCCTTCAAAAACTCTCTTCAATCGTTCAAAGCCGTTTTCTTGTAGCCAACCAAGGACAAAGTTAATTCCTTTGCACTTGAAGACCTTGAACCACTGCCTTGAACTCATCCATTAATCATTGACGCCATTTTGGATTCTGCACACGTGTTTAAAAGAAAAATTCAAATTCCCGACCCCCTTCAAATTTCCCACCTTCCACTAGGAAAAAAGGTCAAATTCCCGCCTTCTTAAAATACTAAACAAGCAAATTCCCCAGGTATGCCCGGGGGGGGGGATGTCAAGGTTTCGATTTGATTCGCGCATAACGACACGACCCTATTACCGCAATGCTTGTAAGCAATACGCTTTGCCGATTTAATATCTTCGGTTCATTGAATGCTATGAGGACAAAAATACCACCATTCGATTCAGTGTGACGAGATCTCCTCACTCGTAGCAATAGTTTTAGTCATTGGCAACATTATAGCGATTTATGAGCTTTAAAAGTAAAGTGAGATCGAATACGATCAAATTACGCATTTTACCAACAAATTATAAAAACATAAACATACCTTACGCCGAATATAACTTCGGCCCCTTGAAACGTATGCTCATTGCGATATTCTTGATGAATTAATCATTTAAAATGCCATGTATAACGTTATTTCCAAGCTTCTATCCTTAAAGGGTGACTTTTAATGCCGAATTTTACATTTTTGCTCCGAATTTGCGATAATCCCAACCGGAAATACGACGAAAACTCGTCAAAACAATGCCACGCTTGTATCGCGTGACTCTGGAAATGCCAGAAATGGACTCTACAGGTCAAAGTGCACCCATACGCGTAAGTTTGACGTCATCCCGGCTAAAGGGAGCTCCTTATTGGCCAAGTATTACGTAATACAAGCGCGTGCGAGTAAAACCCGATACTTTAAAAATTCAAAATAAATATTTCTACTCGTCGTATTCATACGAAACTTTCTACACTAAAGCGCTTGAATACAAAGAGTATTTTGCACATATAGCCTTTCAGAAAATGACGAAATGTTTAGAAGATATTCAACTTTTTCTCTTTTTATCGTTTGAATGTTTGGCGAAGCGGTGAATATAACTATACTAGAAGTTACTATCGCAAGAAAAGTGCTGCCTCACCACACCCCAAAAGGCAGCATGCACAATTGGCTGAATAAGGGGCTGTTTATATGATCCCGCTTTGCCATTACTCTCATGATGTTTTTATATCATTATATCAAACTAAAACCACCCCCAAATACATAAAGAATACATAAAGGAAACTAAGTAAGTTATACTTTATAATTTAAAAATTTAAAGTAAATTTGTAATGCAAAATATAATAAAATTTAAAAATAAATAAATACCCACACAGAGCCTGGCCACCTGTCGTTTTATATGAATGCCTTCAATGCATTGTATACTTATAATGCTGTCATTGGTGAAGCTAGCTATAGCAACAAGTCATGCTATGCAAGTTTTTAATGATTTGTATCATTCAAATAGATGCAAGATTATCAGCATAGGCATAGCACAGAGAGCATAGCATGACGAGTTGCCATGACTAGCTTGCCACTGAATACAGTACAATATTATATATTTACATAGAGAATAATACATGGGTGTGCGGAAATTTCGAGAAATAAATCTGGTATTTCCAAGTATTTATGTTTATTTTTCTGTTTATTATAAAAAGGACAGTCTTTGAAAAGCGATATTTTTTGCAGAAAAGCGATTATTGAAAAGCGATAATTTTCACATGTGAGATATTATCATAAATAATCTCACATGTGAGATTATCAGTTTTATCAGTGCTCGAAATCTCTATAAAGCACTATACTTTATATAATAAATGTACAACAACAATAATAATACTTGAATGAATCATTGGACATGTAAAATTTAATAACAATTTCATGTATAGAAATACTATAATACAAAACTACCCCTATCACAGAACAACTGTCATTTTTGTTTAATTTAATACATCAGCTTCAGATGGCACCATTCATTTGTAATAACTCAGTCATAACTTCAAAACTGCATATTAATAAGAAAGAAATTGTGAACATTATCGAGAAAATATAGTATACCCTGAAATGTAGTGACACCGCCAGGTGAATATATGAATGTATTATGTAGGCCGGTAGGATTATTCCTTATTTAATATGCTG